TTCCATATCGGCTGCACTAATTTGCAGTTTCCCCAGCAATGTATGAGTATGCTTTTTGCCCCACATCTTCACCAACACTTATTGTTGCCTATATTCTTAACACTGACTGGAGTGAGATGAAATCTTAGAGTAGTTTTGATTTGTGTTTCTTAATTTCTAGAGATGATGAACATTTTTCATATATTTATTGATAGTATATAATCTTCTGAGAAGTGTCCAGGTCCTTGGCTTATTTATTGATTATTTTTTTCTTAATTTATTGATTTGTTATTTTGGTGTTTAGCTTTTTGAGTTCTTTATATATCCTAGAGATTAGTGCTCTATCTGATGTGTGAGGGGTAAAAATTTGCTCCCAAGATGTAGGCTTTCTATTCACCTCACCGATTGTTTCTTTTGCTGAGAAGAAACTTTTTAGTTTGAATCCATCCCATTTATTGATTCTTGATTTAAATTCTTATGCTGTGGGAGTCTTATTAAGGAAGTTGGGACTTAATCTGACATGATGGAGATTAGGGACTACTTTTTCTTCTATTAGACACAGGATTTCTGGTTTAATTCCTAGGTTCTTGATCCATTTTGAGTTGAGTTTTGTCCATCGTGAGAGGGGTTTAATTTCAACATATGGAAATTAATAAATGTAATTCACCACATCAATAGACTTAAAGGTAAGAATCATATGGTCATCTCAATAGATGCAGAAAAAGCATTTGACAAAATACAGCACCCCTTCATGTTCAAAACACTAGAAAAGTTAGGGATAACAGGAATGTATCTAACATTATAAAGGCCATCTATGCTAACCCAGGCCAACATCATTCTAAATGGAGAAAAATTGAAGGCATTCCCTCTAAAAACTGGAACAAGACAGGGATGCCCACTTTCACCACTTCTATTTATCACAGTTCTTGAAACACTGACTAGAGCAATTAGAAGGTGAAAGAAATCAAAGAGTATGGGTAGGAAAAGAAGAACTCAAATTAGCACTATTTGCTGACAATATGATTCTATACCTAGAAGACCCAAAAAGTTCTACCAGAAAACTTCTCGAACTAGAAAATGAATTCAGCAAAGTAGCAGTATATAAAATCAACACCCATAAATCAAAGGCATTTCTGTATATCAGTGACAAATCCTCTGAAAGGGAAATGAGGAAAACTACTCCATTTACAATAGCCTCAAATAAAAATAAAACACTTGGGAATCAACTTAACGAAAGAGGTGAAAGACCTATACAATAAAAACTACAGAATCCTAAAGAAAGAAATCAAAGAAGACCTTAGAAGATAGAAAGATTTACCTTGCTCTTGGATAGGCAGAATTATCAAAATGACCATTCTGCCAAAAGCACTATACAGATTTAATGCAATTCCAATCAAAATCCCAGTGGCATTCCTCATAGAAATAGAAAAAGCAGTCATGAAATTCATCTGGAAAAATAAGAGACCCAGAATAGCTAAAGCAGTCCTTAGCAACAAGAGTGAAGTAGGTGGCATCATGCTACTACAGAGCGGTAGTAACAAAAACAGCATGGTATTGGCACCAAAATAGACTGGTAGACCAATGGTTCAGAAAAGAGGACACAGAGACTAACCCACTAAGTTACAATTGTCTTATATTAGACAAAGGCACCAAAAACACATTGGAGAAAAGATATTCTCTTCAACAAATGGTGCTGGGAAAAGTGGAAATCTTTATGTAACAAAATGCAATTGAATCCTAGCTTTTTAGCTTTAGCTTTTAACTGTAGTGAAATATTTTCATACATGGTCGCATATCTTCATTCTGTTTTATAATTCATTCTTGAAAAAAAACCCAATCTTTTTTCTAATAATAAAAGAAAGATGTTAATTTTAGAAAATTCGAAAAGATACAACAAAGCACAAAGAAAAAACTCACTTATGATCTTATCATATGCTTGAGAGCTATATTAACAACTCTGTAAATGTTGGTTGTCTTTTTTTCCATGTGTGAATATTATTATTGCATATAATTCTTGATTCCTCACATTTATACTACTTTTTCTTTTCTATGCAGTGAACATTTTTCCATGACATTAAAGTTAGGCTGTGGAATACATGATTTCTTTGTGTTCTGTAACATAGGTACATCATATTTTAACTAGTCCTCATTGTTAAACAATCAGGCTGTTTATAATTTGCTGTTATAATTGTGCTATGATGAATATGGATGGTTTACACCTTATAGAATTTTAAAAGTTAAGTTCCAAGAAGTGGAATAATTCTGTGATTAAGAGCATAGATTTTATTTTCAGACTGCTTGGGTTCAAATCCTTCCTTGTGTGTATATAGTTAGACAAATTAATTTATTTCTGTCTCAGTTTTTTAATTGATACTTTAAAGATAATAGTATGTACATGGAAAGCACTTACAAAACTGACAAACAGAACACATTGTCAAGGTTAGTATCACCATCATTTTTATTTTAAGGAAATGAACATTTTATATATATATATGTGTGTGTATATATATATATATATATATATATATATATATGTAAAATTAAAATTTTCTCCTGAAAAGTTCTATAGGTTTCATTCTTAACCAGCAAAACATGAGAGTACCATTTTACCAGCTCTGACCAACCAACAACTGTTATTATAATCCAAAATCTTTTAACGTGTGCATAAAAGCAGTTCTTTTCTTTATAGTTGGCTTTTTAAAAAATTTTATTCACCTATTTGTAATCACAAATCTATTATTTATGATGGTGTAAATAAATACATAATTTATTCACTCATTTATTAAGTTCTTTCTCTTTGCCAAGTATACCTCTAACATTTTTTAAGTATTATTTTCATTTCAGAATAATTATGGATTCATAGATGCCCTTACTGTTTTCCCTATTGCTATCATGGCACATTTGTCACACCTAAGATACCAACATTGGTACATTATTATTAACAAACTTTTCTTTGGATTTTATCATTTTTACCTGTAATGTCCTCTTTCTGACCTAGGATCCCATCCAAAATACCCCATTTCATTTAGTTGTCAAGTTTCCTTACTCTTTTCTCATCTGTTTCTTAGTCTTTCCTTGTTGGTTATTATATTGAGAGCTTGGAGGAGTAATGTATTTTGTTAACTGTTTCTCAATTTGGGTTTGTCTGATTTTTTATTTTCCTTGTTAGACTGGGCTGGTTAATATCAATTAAGACTGTTGGATGTTTTTTATTTTGGGTTGCACTCCATTGTTGCATTCTTTATTTTGATGCCAGTATTTTTTTAGCTTTGGCCATTTATTCTTTCATTTGCCTTCTCTGTGTTCTTTTGACATGATCCATCCTTTAAAAAAATTTTTTTGAGCATTTTTCTCCTTTTGGTATAAGGGGCTCCAGGCTCATTTACTGTTCCCTTTTCCTGACCTACAATCAGCCTTTTCTCCAAGAATTCCCATTTTCTTTTATTGGAAAATGGTATGCAGAAATCAAGATCTGGGTGCTGGGTGTGCTTTTGACTCTTTGATGTGTTGCTGTTTCTAGTCCCTCCTCAGTGGATAGAGATAAAAAGACTACTTGTGTATACATACATCTGTAATTATTTTGGTATTTGTATCTCTCTTAATATATCTCTGTTAAGCAAAATATCCATGTTTATCTCTCCCACTCCAAAAGTGAGAAACCTGGCTCACTTTTGAATACATAAACATTTACATATTATTTCAACCCCAGGATACATAAGAAGTATTTCAGAATTGATCCATATCCCTGAGGAAAATGATTCTACCAATTAAAGTATGTTGTTAATGTATAGTTTGGTTTCCAGTAGAAGTACTATCTTCTACTTATTTCAGTATTTTTTCCCCACCCATTTCTCTGCTTTTGATGCCGTGATTAAAAATCCTTGCTAGGAACAGTGGCATTCGTGTAGTCCCAGCAAACTGGGAGGCTGAGACAGGAGCATTGCAAGTTCCAGGCTAACCTCAGCAATTTAGTTTGGCCCCGTCTCAAGAAAAAAAAAGGAGGGGGTTTTCTGGGGGTGTAGTACAGTGGTAAAGTGCTCCTGGGTTCAATCCCCAGTAGACCCCCCCAAAAAATATTCTTGATTCAAAAATTGATTTTATGTACACACACACAATGTTGTATAGTATTACACAATTGTATTATTATAAACAATATGTGGTGCATGTACAAGTTGAGTATTCCTTATTCAAAATGCATGGGACTATAAATATGTTGAATTTTGGAATATTTCCAAATGCATAATGAGATATCTTAGGGATGGGATCCAAGTCTAAACATGTCTCACATAGACTATATACAAAATAGCGTGAAGGTAATTTTATGCAATATTTTTAGTGTGCCTGTGTGTTGACTACAACTTCATGTGAGGTCAGGTGTAAAATTTTTCATATGTGGTAATAATGTCAGCGGCCAAAAAGTTTAAGATTTTGACATTCTGGATGTTTGGATTAGGGATGCTCAACCTGTAGTAAATATATTATATAACACTATAACTGCCTGCAATGTAATAATTAAAAATATACAATGTGTATATATGATGTTTATTTTTAATTACTTTGTTTTTACCTTAAATTCTTAAATATCTTTGAAAGACTATTTTGTCATTTAGTATAAAGTAGAACTTTTTTTTAACAGAAGTTGCTGTATAGAAAGTTTCCTTTCTCAATTGTTTGAACTATGACTTTTATTGTATTTTAAAATCTTATATATAGTAGATGCTTTCTGTGCTTATTCTCTTTCATATGCTATTCTTATTCAAATTTCAAACATGTAATTAGGATAATTTCAGCATTTCGAAGATTATTTTTCTTTTAATATTTTTTAGTTGTTGATGGACATTTTATTTATTTTTTATTTATTTGTATGTGGTGCTGAGGATCGAACCCAGTGCCTCAGGCATGCTAGGCCAGCACGTTACCACTGAGCCACAACCCCAGTCCCAAGATTATTTTTCTTCGTGTTCTTTCATGTTCACATATTATTTTAATTAAGTGCTATAATTTTCTTTTTTTAATTTCAGGAATATTTTAGTGGATAAACCAAATGACCAGTCTTCAAGATGGTCTTCAGAGAGCAACTATCCTCCTCAGGTAATAATACACGTAACCCTTAATACTATTTAAGAGTCAGAATTCAGATAGGAACTTATTCAATTGATACATCAGTTATCTGGAATCTATTAATAGTTTATTCTGTCTTTGGCATTGGGATATAAACTTTTATTTCTTTTGTTTGAATTTTGAAAGAATTTTGATTTTATAGATAAGTATAGTTTGGGATTTGATGAAATATATGTTTTGTTCTATCTTGTGGAAGATTTAAATTCTAATTTATAATTTTCTATATTACTAATGTTGCAAAACCAAATTGTTAAAACCAAGGAAATTGTTAACCAAGAACTGGTTAGGGTGTGGTTACTGTTCCATTCTGAGCAGAGATTGTGACCTTGACCTCTGTTTCATTGTGCTCAGGTCATTCTGTAAATATTTAAGGAAATGTTAGTAAATTGAGCTTTGCCTTTGAGGAAAAATGAACTTAATATAGTTTGTTATTTTACTGAAATAATGTACTTAGGTGGCATTAGGATGGAATTAGACTAATTTCTTTTACCTGATAAGTGGTGTCTGAATTAATTAATTAATTGGGGGGCTACTGGGGATTGAACTCAGGGGCACTCAGACCCTGGAGCTACATCCAAACAGCGCTAGTGCCTGGCTTTTGCTGAGGCTGACCTTTGAACTCAAGATCCTCCTGCCTCTCCTTCCTGAGCTGCTGGGATTACAGGCATGCACCACCATACCTGTCATGATGGTATCTGAATTTATAAAAGCATTAATGCTTATTATGTACTCAGCATGCTTATAATTAAATCCATATATATATATATATATATATATATATATATATA